TTCAAATTCATTAATTAAGATTATGTTTAAAATATATTGATATTCCATATTATGTTAATATTATTCACAATTTTACTAATTCTGGACCGTATACTGCGCGGTATTTCTTCGTACTTGTTCGGCCTCGTTCGGCAGTGTCACTTCGTGGCAATGTAGGTAGCGCGAGAAGAATTTCCTTCCTCGTTTGCAAATTTAGTCATTTCAGATTTGAAAGAACAATTTCGGAAGCGATTTGCTGATTTGGATTCCAGTGCTCAGGAAATTAGATTGTTTCAAAATCCGTTTGACTGTGATGCTGCAGATGTCCCAAGTCAAATTCAAATGGAAATTATTGAACTTCAGGAAAATTATCATATTAAAGACAAATACAAGGAAAGAAATTTGATCGAATTTTATAAATTTCTGAACTCTGAGCAATTTCCAAATTTAAAGAAATTTGCTTGTAAATTTATCTCCATTTTTGGGACGACGTATCTGTGTGAACAAACTTTTTCCCAGATGAAGTACATCAAGTCGAAATACAGGGCAAATTTATCCGATGAACATTTAAAGTCACTACTTGTGATTAGGTTTTCAAAATTTGAACCTCAATTTAAACATATTTTAAGAATGCAAAAAGAGTTCCATTATTCACATTAATTGTTTTATTATAATTTGTGATGAAAATATGAGCATTTGCTGCTACTGTCTGTTGTCATTAATATACGATAATTTATTCTCACGTACTTTGTATTTAGTTTATGAAATTCTGTGCTTTCAATAAAACTCGTATACCTAGAGTTATTAATTTCTCATTTTATCCGGCCCGTTGAAAGTGCTGAATTACCTAATGTGGCCCGCGTTTCGAAAAGTTTGGAGACCCCTGGTCTAGAGGTATCCAACGCCGATCACATTTGCTGCAAGGTCTAAGGCCCGAATTGTCTTCGTCCGCTCGAACACTGTGGACGTAGGTTCGAGTCCCACTTGAGGCATGGGTGTTTGTGTGCGTTTATTCTGTATTTGTGTCGTTCTGCGTGTAGGTAACGGCATTGCGACGGGCTGATCCACCGCCCTGTCTTTGTGTACATATACAAACAAAACGCTCCGATTACTAAGCATTGGGGCCCTTCTACAGAAAACTGTCATCTTGTTTCTTTTTTGGGGGGGGGGATTTGGATTTGAAAAGTTAGATATTTTTGGAGCTAGAATCTTCATATTCACCGGACATCGACCTATGTCGGACAAACTCCTAAATACCGAACATGACTAACATCCACGCAACCCTCCTGACGTTAGCGAGGGGTACATCACATACATAGAGACAGACAGGTTGCATTCCAAGGTCCACTTTGTTCTTATTTAGGAAAGCTGATCCTGAGATCGATTCCTTTCTCACTACCACAGTACTTTCCCACGTGTTCGCGCTATGTATAGTGAGATACTAGAAAATATGTATCGGTAGTCGCTAATCATTTTTGTTCAAATCTGCTCCCTCTTTAATTACTTAATTTATTAATTTGTAGGTCAAATTTGCATGGTTGTCTTATATAATGTATACAGACGATTTTCAAAATTTATACCACTTCCTTCTGCCTCGACATTTGACTAACACTTCCGGAAAATTCATGTTCCGCCACAGAACACTGAATGGGTGTTACGTCACATCACGTGCGCTAGTGCTGACGGCTTCGCGGCTTTCATTCTAGCCCTGACTACGTGTAAGGGCGCCATATTCTGAAGAGTTACAAACAAGTGATGGGTCACATGCACGCGTCCCCTTTGCTTCTAATGCTCGCAATGTTAACACCTGTAACACTGATAAGCGTCGCGACGATGCAACGTCATGTTAACGCGTTACGTTAAGGCAGATTGTTCAAGAGTGGACATGGCCCAAGAATTTCAGTAACACGATGCAAGATGTTAAGTTCATGTTCTCGGACTCGAGACATTCTGAATATCTCAATAAATATATTACTTTTTCAGCGCTGTGACCCTAAGGAAAATCACAGGCCATTTATCCCCCCCTGCCCCCTAAACTAAACCAAACTCCGTGACTTTTAGTCCGCAAGCGAACTATACCGACCGAGAGACCGCCGTTTGCCGGCGATTTTACTGCAAACATTAGCGGATAGAGTGTGTCGCGTGGTCAGCGCAACGGACCCCCACGGCCGTTAATCTCGGTTTTCTAGACCGGAGCCGCTACTTTTCCATTCAAGTAGCTCCTCAATTATCCTCAGAGGCTGAGTGGACCCCGTTCCAGACCCACTACTTCTCAGAAAATCTGGTAGGGCCGGGAATCGAACCCGGACCTCTGGATCTGTAGGCAGGAACTCTGACCACTAGAACACAGAGGCGGTCGTCCCCCTTTCCGCCCTTGCCTCCCCTTTCAAATATAAAACTGTGCAGTTATGCAGGGGTGTGTGTGTGTGCGCTAGCGTGCTCCGAGCCTTGGGGCACAGGTAATAAAACAACCACCTCATCAGCCCACCGCGCCGTGCTTTATGATAACTTGCGTATGGGGAATTTACTGG